TTCGCTGTCCCGGTCCAATGCAGGCGGTGGGAAGCCGCGGCCAGCACATCCCTCGCCCACGCCGCTTCCCGCCGCCCCCATTGGCCCAGGATGGTGAACCGCGGGAGTGGGGGCTGCAATCAGCCGAACCTGCCGCGTCAGCAGGTAAATAACCTGGCCGAGCCCGCTAGGGTGCTTACTCTGGCGAGCCGCGTGCCAAACGTTGCCGACCCCTGTGTTACAGCATAGATCCCATCCACTTGGTAGCTGTCCTACGGGGCACTTTCCAGATTCTTACAGACAGCAGTTTCCATAGCACAGTACAGAACAGTTTCACATCTTCCCCTTAGGACTTGTCTGATAGATGACACTAGCAGGGTGCACATGGGGTGTTTTATGCACCCATCTGCTCTTTTGCCATCCCAAAACCTTTAGCTTTGAAACTGGAATGGGATCCTGCCATCACCTCCTCCCACTCACCTTCCAGGGGGTGAGGAGGGCAGTGATCCCACATTCCTCCATGTGTCAGCCATCTTGGCTGCAGCCTGGGGTGTCCTTACCTCTAGGCTGGGGAAGTGACCCCCCCTTGAGCATCTGGGGGGATCCAGGTAGGTTTATTCACCTCGAAAGCTCATCTTAACCCAGCCATATTTCTGGAGCTCTGGAGAGGCAGGGTAACACGGTGCTCCCCAGCACTGACAGACCCCGCCACCGGAGTTGGGTCTTCACCCCAGGACTGTGCATATGGGAGGAACACATTTCCCCTCTTGGGATCAACCTGTTGCCTCCTCCCCACTCCTTGTGGGCAGTGATTTGGGGATCTCTTGGTTAAGAGAACCCACCATGTCCATGACCACCACATGACAAGATGCTTCTTTTACTAGCAGCAGTATTCTGGCTGCTTTACTTTTCTCCGGGGCTTCTCTCATGCCATGACAGGGCAAACGTTTGGCAGTCCTCCTTCTCTGCACGTGTCTCCTTGTGCTCAGCTCTGCCTCTGCTTCCCTGTAAGGATAGGCAGTGAGCTTGTGCCTTTGGTCATAGCACTGGGCTCCGGGGGGGTCACTCCTTAGCTAGTGTGACTCATACCTCTTGTGTGGAGATGGGTGAGGGCTCTTCCTCCCACCACCCCACTCAGTTTCAGGTGTGTGCTTACAGACAGGAAGATGCCCTGAGCTTAACAGCCTTTTCCTTGTGTTACTGCAAAGGGAGAAAACCCCTCCTGCTCCCTGCCAGCCACTCTATTTGCATTTTGGCTAACACCTTCTGTCACAGCCCTCTGGCTCCGTTACCGCCTGGTTCAAGCCCTTGGCTGTTACAAGAAGAGTCACTGGGGTTTGTCTTAAAGTGATACAGTCATTCCTAAGGAGGATGTCAAAGGCGAGATCATGAAGAACCCTGCTAACAATCACTCCTGTGTCTGTACAAGGATGCAAGCTGTAGGCAGGGCACATGGCTTCACATTTGGAACCTTAACCCAAGTTGTACATCCCTTCAGTGCTTGATGGAGTTTTACCACACAGGGTTTGACAAGAGTTCTCTGCCCCAGAATCTCTCCACTGGATGAATATCTTCCCAATATAACTATCACCTATCCTCCAAAGCACTTACAATCCCTCCCAGCTTGCTATCGTCTGCAAACTTTATAAGTATACTCTCTAAGCCATTATCTAAGACCCTGATGAAGATATTGAACAGAACCAGACCCAGAACTGATCCCTGGGGGGTGTCACACATTTGGTGTTTTGCGGACCAGAAACCTTTTCCTATGAGCCTCAGGTGTCAATTCAAGCTTAATCAGTAGAGCCTTTTTGAATTGTTCATAGTCGCCAGTATCATCAACTCCATCCATCTGGCTATATGCCTCTATCACAGTGGGACCGAGTAAGGGGGTGACGACTTTGGTGTCGGTCCACAGGATCAACCTAGTTCAAACTGCAAGCCTTCTCAAAGGCAGTGAGATAGTCATCTATATCCCTCCCACACCTTACATTGGCGCCACAGTTTGGTAAGTAGGCTTCCCCTGGTCTCTCTAATCAGTGCAACATCACACCTTTAGTTAAACAAGTACAGCTTTTCATTTAGACCAAGCCCACATGGATAATGCTTTGCATCCAGTCCCCTCCCATCCCTAGGATAATGTAAAAAAAAAACCCCGAAATGGATGATGTTTCTCCCCTAAATTTTCAAAAATAAACATTTCTCCAGTTTGTCCAGGCCAAGGCACCAAACATCCCGAAGGCCATGT